ACTAGGGCTTTAACACTCTCCCAAGGGACCAATGTCATACCGTCGGGTCTCATTATTAGTATGTATTTGAGTTAATAATTAGCATATCTGTTTCGAAGATCTTAACATAATATGTAGTACATTATTAAAACTTACGAAAACGTGTGGTAAGTGTAGTTTTAAAAAGTACATATGTGCTTTACTATTTGTATGTTACTTATTTTTTTTTATGCCGACACGTTTTAGTCGTATTAAAACATATTATGATATTGATTATGTGTTTATGTTAATGATTTCAGTAATTTAGTATATCCTATAACAAAAAGAGACACCGACTCGTTAACAATAGTATTATAATTTTTTTTAAACTAGATGAAAAATTTTTGAACGCCTTTATTAAATAAAGAACTTTTTCGTTATAAGTTTCATCATCTTTTATCTCAATGTTTCGGTAAAGTTACATTTGTTATTGAGCTTTACAAACATCTAGGAAAACAATTCTGCTTTGTTTGACACAAATATAGTAGAGACAAATCACTGTCTCAATGGATACGTGCAAACAAAATTAATATACTTTGTGTATTTATGTGCTCTAAAGTTGGGTGTGGCAGAAGAAGTATGAGAGTAAAATTAATGCTGTAGAAATGAGGTCATTAAAAGTATGTTAGCGATAATCGAGTGAGATATTTTTGTGTGATAGAGTGAGATGTTGTATAAGGGAAACGTGTGGTTCGCAAGAAGATGTTAATAAAGGAGTGCTTCGGCAGTTTAAACAGGTAGAAAGAATGAATGGGGAAAGAGTGACAAAATAAAGTTGTGCAGAAGTGAGTACCAGAGGCAGGGGTCGCCCTAGACGGAAGTGTATAAAGCAGATTAGTGATATTAAAAATGAGCCAAATTAAGAGTACCCTTAACCGATGAGCAAGTCTGCGTCTGAAAGAAGCTAGGTGTGTCAGGATCATGCCAAATGGAAGTCCGTAGTTTCTGCCTAGCCTTCCGCGTGACGTTCTAAGAGTTTGTTTATGTTATGTGTTCTAAAGTTGGGTGTTTCTTTCTGTTTTCTGATATTGTTTATATATTGTGCGATTTATTCGTGGGAATTCGAAAAATATTCCAATATTAACGCAACAGAAGAAACATAAAATTATAATTATAATTATATTTTGTATTTTAGTTTTGTTTTTATTTTTGAAATAATTACAACCACCTTGGCGACAGGTTATACCTTTGTTTCTGTTTCTGTTTGTTTTATTTAAAAAAAAAAAACGTTATCTAAACACTAGGGTTTTTCCTGTACCGTGGAAGCAGTTTACAAACAAATTGCACAAGGACAAACATCCAGACACGGAACAATTATTTGTAGGCCATACAAAATACACTTGTTATGGTGGTACGTGGATTTAATTATACCGATGGATTTTTATTATAATGCTTGTATCACGCAATTTTAAGGTTGTGCTACGAATCTTATCGATTAGCAAACAAACATCTCTTTTGGTGTTAGTCTTTGACGGCCTGTTTGGTCGAGTGTTCGTAAACGTTGCTGCCGACCATGTGTTCGCGGGTTGGAATCGAGTGGGGAAAAAGCAGTTATTGGGGATTTCTGTTCAGATATTCTTAGTAACAGTCCGGAGTCGGGAAGTTGACGGGGTTCAATCTTGTTGCTCGGAAAGCACGTAAAATCGATCTCCGGTCGTGTCGGATAGCCGTCCCATCGGACCATAAGTGTGAGGGACGCGAGAGACGCCTTTGCCTGCGCATGCATACGAGTATTATAATCCTTTTCTACGCAGGCTTGTCTCCGTTGATACACCCCGCCTTGGTCCCGAAACTCTTTCTGGAGGTTTTCTTATATATATAGTCTGTAAACGCAACACAAGTGGTAGCTATATTATACCAGCCAGAAAGACTGTGTAAAAACTATTCGTCGGTTATTATAAATAATTCAAATTTAGAATTAGCACCAATTATTTTATTGTATTATTTTGACGAGACTGTGAATCAAGGACATTCTAGTCCCTTTTCGAGTTACTGGTAGATAGTCATGTATTAAATTCTTCAATAAAACATGTCATGTGATCGGTGCCAATTAATTTACTAATTGTAATTTAAGGTTCTGGTTTATCACGTGCTCATATGTGAAGGCAAAATCTTGAAGGAACCTGCATGTCTTAAAATTAAAATATTTCCAAGACATGTTACGTCTGCAAACACCCTTTGAAAAAGCGCCTAGGAGTAATTGCTTGAGAAGAAGCATGTGTTTAGTGATGGGACGTGTTAGACTGTAACTTTCATTTTTATTTCTTTAAAGTAATGAATTCCTTGATGGTAGGAATGCTTTTCTGGCTAGAATTACGTCTGGTAAGAATCATACTCTTATCCATTTCCACCGCCAAATAGCAGGGCGTGTTTCCGTCTGAAGGAAATAGAAAGCCAGCTTAATTACAGGTTGTGTCGCATTCCATCTTAGTCCACAGGAGTGACTATACATCTGTCGCCTTCTTTGTCTGAAATCGCTCTCATATATCAAAGGGCTGCTGCAGCCACTTACTACCAGGTAGGCTGTAAGTTCGTTTGTCACTTCAATTTTATAAAAAAAAAAATTGAACGATTAAATAAAAAGAATAATTGCCATACTTTTAATTTTATTTATTTATGCTTTGCACACCATGTACAAAAAGGCGGACTTAATGCAAAAGGGCATTCTCTACCAGTCTACCTTCAGGCTAAGCAGAGAAGATATTATGGGTGTAAAGTGCAAACATTTTCGTATTTTCAAAATAATTTATGAATCAAAACCAAAGACTTTCGAATGATTACTTTTAAAGATGACTGTTATATGTCGCAGGCTTATGATAAAACCAGGTTTTTGATCGAAAACCTAGACTTTTGATCAAGAACCGGATGAAGACATAATTACTACTTTATGTTATCATAGACTGCTGCTGGGCACGGGCCTTATCTCATTTCTGAGAGGGTTTTAGGGCAAGGCAATGTCCACCACGCTGTCCCAATGCGTATTGACGACCTTCCCATGTCTTCGAAATAATTTTTTTTCTTATTTCTCAGACATGCAGATTTCCTCACGATGTTTTCCTTCGCCGCCGAGCACGTCAATTCAGCACATAAAATTTCAATTAACAATTACGTCGGTGCTGACGGGATCGAACCCGGGTTCTCGCCTACTGTGAAATTTACTGCAAGCGCTTAGCCCCTGAGCTACCCCGGCTCTTGAACCTGACCTGAAACCTGAGAAAAAACAGGATTTTTTCAGATTAATGATAAGATTAAGTATTAACTGTCTTCTTACGGTTCTTGAACAAAGGCCCTGGGTTTTTGATCAAAAACCTGATTTTACCATAACCCAGCGACATATACATAAATAAACGATTAGAAATAGTAGTGACATATATTACCATTGATACTTACTTTGAATAATTTAATATCGAGTATAGATCTATACATTAGTTTTAATGTCACATGATTTCTGGCAATGCTTTCTTAGGAAGTTTTCTAATTTATTAATCGATAGTATAATCGATTCCAGTTTTACAAGTTCTACGTAGTTAGGCCTAACAGAAAGTTCCTGAGATCCGCACGCAGAATCTTCACTATTATTTATGTATACTCGGACAAAAATCACCCTTTGCGTCGCCCGCTCGACGCATGGCAACCAAGAAAGCATTCAAAATGATTTATTGTAAATGGTTTTCTACTTTGTTGGCTAAAATAATAACCCCCACGCCAGGATTGCTGTTCTATATTCGATGTTTTATTGTTATTTTTTCCCTTTGCTGCGTGCCGATCGAGTCTCAAAAATATCAAATTTGCAATCCCTTTCCCATTAGTGGAGTTGGAGTGATTCAGCGATATAGTAATCACGAGTCAGTTAAAAGGGATCAATCATTAATTAGTGCCTCGAATGAAAATGACGGCGCAGTCATAAATGTGGGAGTTAGGGAACTGCACGTTGAAAAAGACATCGGCAGCGTGAATAATAAAAACGCTTCAGCACAGTAGGCCTTGCGGGTGGCTTTGTGTCGTTTCACAATGGTATTGTACGCCAAAGCGATTGACGGTTTAACTCCGGAGGTGTCATGAGAATTAGTGGGCCATTATTGCTCCACAGAGAACTCTATGGTCAAGCAGAAAGTAGATAACAATAATTAGCTTGGATGCTACAAAAAGTGACATAAATCCCGCATAATAAGTTCTCCGTAGTGCAAAAAACGTCCAAGTTTACCTGGATTCCTACTTTTTTTTCGCACAACTCGGACCGAACGTGGGCCGCTATAATAAACACCTCAATTCCTGGCAGAGGGATTGTTTAATGATTTTCTGTTGTGATCTTGCACAATTCTCGACCGACTCGATTTTTTCTGCATTTAACATGCAGGAAAAATAAAAGTTTTTTGTATGTCTTGGTAGCATTTAAACAAAAGGGGCTCGGGTCTTGTGTGAAGGTGTGATTTATTTATGACTTTGCTTTAAGAGCCTTTGCTTGACCGTTTTAATTTGGCGTATGTCGTGTTTTGTTTTGATCCGATTCGAAGTGAAATGTGAGCGTTTACTAAACGAACCCCATTAACATTTTTCCTTTTTGTTGCAGGAACAATGTGGAAGAACCGCAATTGTATATCGCGGTATTAGAGATCTAAAGTGCATTTTATTTTCCTTAATACTGATATACCTAAAGTCGTCATAAAAAGATGCTGGGGTGTGCTCTGAGAAGAGTTGCCTCGGTGTTCGTGTCCTTTGCCCCAAAAAGCCTCAACTTTAGCTCGGCTGACGACAGCCGGTGCATAGATAAGTAGATGGTTGTTTAAATCGTGTTAACTTTAAAATTACATTCGGCCCTATTCGAAAACAGTAAAACCTCATAATTTTAAAATACCTGAACAGAACGTTTGTAACTAAACTAGTCAAAGTAACAAATTTGAGACCGATAGAAATTGTAAGTTACCAAAAGAAGAAGTAAAAAAATCAAGAACAGAACGTACTGCAAACGCCACTACGGTGGTATGCTTTATTTTGTATCTCGTATCGACTGCGCGCTGACTGGTCGCTACGTCACGTGGCTTCCCGGCGCGCGACTTCAGTGCTGGATGCTACTAACTGTATACACGTAAGTATTCATTTACGCACTATTTATTGACCTATTATTATACATATTATGAAATTATTAATGATGTGACTTTTACTAAAAACTATACATTCCATCATAATCCTCAGAGGTGACAACGCATCTGGATTTGATTCTTAATCGAGGATAGATGTAGATGTCTATGGGCCACAGCATCCACTTAACATCAAGTGGACTGTTTTCGTTGCTCGTTTGTCACCTTTTTTATAAATACATGCTTTTTTTAAAATTAAAGGGTTAAAAACGAGCATTTATCTTTAGGAAGGATAATAATAGAATTTAATATATAGAATTCACATTTAGGAAGCCTGTAAATTAACAGAAGTGCGACACTACGTTGCACCATTGTCACGAATTTTTTCATCTTCATCATCATCCTCATGCAATGAATAAAAAGGCAATGCATCCAACGTTCTCTTTCTGTGCTCTAGTTTATGTTTGTCATTTAGTTTAGATTTATTACACGTGGTAGAACCATGCTACAGCTATATCAATAGTACAGTTGTAGCACGAATGGCTCGGTTCGACCAGGGAAGGACCACGCTCTCACAGAATACCAGAGTAAAATAAACAGCTTAACGCTGCTGTGTTTTGTTTGGTGAGTGAAGAGAACCGGAGATTCTTTTTAATGGAAAAGAGGTATTCCATCCTAGTCCTCACGGCTGACAACGCATCTGCATTTTATTCGCAAACGTCCTAGATGTAGATGTCTATGGGCCACAGCAACCACTTACCATCAGGTGGACTGTGTGCTCGCTTATCACACTTATCCTATAAAAAAAGAAAAGATAATTTGATGTTATCTGTCTTTGATTGAATTTATATTGTATTAGGGTGGGTTTGTTTAATATTCAAACTATGTATATCACACAATTATAATCGAACTTCACATACAAAATAAGTTCGTTCGATTATTTGTTATGTTTAATGCATCGTTTTTCGGATTACATTAATAATGTATGACTTGTAGTTGTTTAGAGTTAAGAAAATGTGAAATATATACAGACTTACATCTATCCTCGATTAAGAATCAAAATGCGGATGACATTCGTGGTACTTTCCTAGTCCAGCCAACCTATTTATACTGCAGCCATAATAGACCGCGTGTGAAGTTGTACCTGTTCATTGCGTAGGTATTACAAAAAATATAATCTGTTGGTTTTCTGGTCTATATACTTATATAAGAAACTGCTTCCAAACTATCTAGTAGTAACTTACCGATCTAGTAGCTTAACGACCCAAGAAACTGTGAAGGTGTTCTCTTTCTATTTTTTTGTTTTTGTGTCGAAGTAGAACGAGCATACGGCTCACTTAATAACTTCTGCCGCCCAAAAATAAACACATTCCGTAACATCAAACGAGTTGAAAATGCATTTGCACTTTTGGAAAAGGAGATGGTTCTCTTCTAAAAGCTTGAAGACTCATGGGTGACTGAAACAGGTTCCATAATAGAGTAATAAAAGAACTGGCTGCACACATTTGTAGTTCATAGTACAGCAAGCCTTAGCAGACCAGACTCCACACGCAGCATCTGCTTTCAAGTATGGAACATATGACAGTCTTGTTCAACAATATTAGAGGGAAGTTGATGAGCCACGACGAGGCTTTAAGCGAGCATGATATATCTCACAACTCTACCACACACTGAGATATGTCTCCCAAAACGTAGCTATGGGATATGCCCGAAACATAAAAGTAAAATAGCCAGACCGGTGACGGGAGTAGCGTCAGCGAAGCCAATCCATCTGCCATGCATGGCGTCTATGGCCAACCTTCCCTACAACGAGAGATGCCATAATATATAATATATTTTTATTTATCATCAACATATTTGTACTATATATTGAAACTATGGTAAGTTGTATTGGAGAACCAACACTGTGTTAAGGTAAATTTCCCTTATTTACGAGTACTTATTATGTAATTTTATTATATTACGACTATATCAGTGTATATCTGTTAAAGTGTGAAGTGATCATATTAAAAACATATCGTGTGTTCATTTGCGCAAAAACAAATGACAGAGAGCATTAAACATTTAGACAACTGTTTTGTTTTTATTAAAAAAAAAACCAGTATAATCTCATTACTATAGCACACATTTAAATTTGGGATTTTAAGTTGAATGCAAGACATCAAAGTATAACTTGCTACATATCTATTTATCTATGGTATAAACTAGCCAGTATTAAAAACAGCAATTAAAAACCTAACATATTATTTTAATGTGTGTGTATTTTTTTTTAACAAAACTTAAATATTGAATCCTACTTTCTCGTGTACTTCTGAAATAAAAATAGCTTATATACGTTACTTTACAGTAACGTAGATGATTTTCAAAGTGTCAGCGGTTAGCAATTACACACGCGCACGTTTGTTAGAACCCTACGACCTTTTCTGTTTTACACTCATCAATGTAAAGGACATAAAACTTGTCTAAGAGTTCCGTCGAATTCCTCGGACAGCCTCCATCCACGGTGGCTGGTTACTATTGGATTTATGACGCGGCTTTCATTACTCGCCTCTATGTACTTTTGCTTTGTTCGCTCAAAAGTTTCACGTCAAACGTCGCTCTTTTATTGTTATGATTAACAACCACGCTTTCTTTGTAAGAAATATGGTATTTTTATGGTCGTAACGATGTTAGAATACGCGTTTTGAGAAAGAGTAAGATTCTTATTAGTTAATAAATATGAGTGTGAGTTTAGCGGTGTGTTTACTTATATGTTTATTATTTAAATACTGTTTAATATTTAGAGATTTTATGGATGTACTACACTGAGTTTTGTATTTTAGCACTGACCAATTGTTTTTTTTCTTTCTTTCTTTTTTAATAAAAGCTTTACTCCTACACTAGAATTTTCTATGGTAGAGGCAGTTTACATACATAAATTGCATAAGGACGTACATCCAGGCCCGGAACAATTATTTGTGGGCCATACAAATATTTGTTCTGTGTAGAATTCGAACCTGCGGCCCTCAACGCCTTAACTTATTGCTAAGACGCTGCGCCACCTAGCCGGATTTGAGCTGTTATGCTTGCTAGTATGTTGGGAATCTTGAAATCCAAATCGGAGGAAAAAATATATAATGAATATTTTAAATAAATTTTCGAAATACGGATATAGCGTTATTGAGTTATTATTATTTTTGTGAAAATTACGTGACAAACGAACTTACAGTGCATTTGATCGTAAGTGACTACGGCAGCCCAGGGTCAACTGCAACCAACTTCAAACAAATAAGACTACATATACCCGCTTGCCAAGTGTGGCATCTATGGCAAAATCCCCTCTATGAGGCAATCTATGAGGGAAGACTATGTTCAGTAATGGAATTTTATATTACATATTTTATGGATGGATGGATGTTGTCACATCTGAGGACTAAGTTCAATGCCTCAAACCTTATAATTATACATCTCTCTATAAAGTTCAGACAGGAGCATAGCACTGCAATTAGACTGCAGAAATAGTTAAGAGGATGGTACTTACCCCAGACGGACTCGTAGGCAAAGTTGAGTCCTATGACCTAACTAACTAACTGAATACAGCCCTCTTGGCTCTGGTATTATACGATAATATCATTTCAATTAAATTAAACCAATCAAAGTTATAAGAACCGTGGTAGCTCAGGGATTAAGCGCTCGCTGTAAATTTCACAGCACACGAGTAACCCGGATTCGATCCCCGCAGGCACCAATAAAATTGTTAATTGCAATTTTAAGTGCTGATTTACCACGTGCTTGGCGGTGAAGAAAACCATTGTGAGGAAACGTGCATGTCTGAGAAATAAGAAGAAAAATATTTCGGAGACATGTGAAGTTCGCCAACGCGCATTGGGGCAGTACGGTGGACATTTCCTTGCCCTAAACCCTCTCAGAAATGAGAGGAAGCCTCTGCCTAACAGTGATACGTATATATAGGCTGTAACTTTATGTTAGAAGCTTTTAAAGTTTTAATAGTGTTAACTTTATTATTATTGTTTTATTTTACAGAACTAGCAAATCCGTGGGGCGTGTATATACCCCACAGAATATTAAAAAAGAAATATTCAGATTCACACAAAATTCAAAGCTTATTTATGTTTTGGCATCAATTTATTAATTTACCGCTTATTTATGTTTTGGCACCAATTTATTAATTTAATGTACTGTGGAGTCGTATGAGGCGACAGAGGGAAACAACTAGGGAGATAGGCAAGAGCGTCTTTACTCTGTGCTAAATCGGTAATCTCTACTCTGTGCTAAAACCTAAGCCTAAAACGTTATGATTATATATTATTTTATTCTTTATTGCATTCCTAAAACAAAAGAATACAAGGAGCGGACTTAATGCCTTGACGATTTCTCTACCAGTCAACCCATATATACTTTTTGCTCTGTGCGACTTGCGCTAGTACTTCTTATTAGTTTGTGGCTTCTTATCTTCTTAATAACTGGCTTTACGGCTCTGGGATCTAGCCCTTCTGAGCCTGAAGTTACAATATATTATAATAATTATCCTTCATAGTATACTGCTTCACAATATGTTGATGCTTTACATTGTGCAGCCCTTGGGAGATTTTGACGGCAACTTGAGCCAGCAGACAGCTGACGGTTGGCGATGGTATCTCAAGGCACCTAAGCAAACAGACACCTTATTTTGAAAATCACATCACCATCAGAGCACTTGTTTCACAGTTTCCACTAATAGTTCACATGCGCAGACACTTAATACACAAAATCGCACCACTTTTATATATCAAAGTCCACTTCAAACCATTATTTAAACAATAATACAGGAGCAGCAAACCGCTGCCGGATAAGTTCCCGCCAAAACCATTAGTTTGTGGTGCGACTGTTTGACCACAGACTATTATGTGTTTGACACGTTAGACCTAAGTCTATGGTTTGACTTTGGCAGTAGGGAACGTAAACAAATGATAGAATAATAAGTGTTTGACATTGCCAGTATGAACGCAAACACAATATGCTTTAAAAG